TTCGAGATTTGATGTCCAAGTATTCCACTAATTGATTTCGCTTTCTTTTCCAAGTTGACAACCAATGTTTAATTGTGACTTGTGATTTTGGTTATTGGTGAATTAATGTTGTTAAGTACATTGATATTGTTATTGTGTTATGATGGAATCATTGCATTAGCTTAAGATGATCCCTTAGAATACCTTGAATATAGACATTAAGTGGAATGCTCCCTTGTGTTCGTCTATATTAATCTTGCAATGATGTTGAGACTTTAGGGTATACGCATATGCTTCTTCCTACGAGTAACTTGATTACTCACCCTAGTGGTTTGGGTTGTTTTACAGGCAAGGAGACTATGTTCTTGGATGTTCATCATCCTTAGAAGCTTATGAGCAATTTGAAGTATTTTTGTATATTGACATGCAAGTGTTTAGCATGCTTTACTTTTGATGTCATATTTTGTATACCATGGGTTTATGGTATTTTAAAAGCTAATGTAGCTTTCTTGATGTGTAATGATACTGAAGTACTTACTTTTGATACTATAAGCATGTATGTAATGAGGCCAATGGCCAGGCATGTTTATTTTAGCACTTGTATCTATTTGGTATCAACTTTTGCTACAAAAACGTATTTTAATCTACTTTGGAGGTTTAGCATATGAAAATCTTGCAATTGATATGTATGAGGTCATGGGCCATTGTTTTACATTCAAATATGCATATAAAGTTTGTTGACATGTTCACATACTCTAATCTCATTGAAAATCAATTTTAAACCTTTATTTTTTAAACAAATCATCATAGGATTCAAGGCATGGGTTGAACCTTAACACCTTTGGCATATAACAGGCCTTATTACAGCTTTTTGAGGTGTTTTGGTCGACCGATGGCAATTGGAAACTTCATTGCACAGTAAAAACCCATTTTTAGTAGCCATTTTCACTGTTCAGGGCCATTTCGGTCGACCGATGGCCTATTTCGGTAGACCGATGCCTCAATTCAGTCTACTAAACCAAAGAACCCTTAAAATCATGTTTTCAAAAAATATTCTGTCCATTTTGGTCGACCGAAGTAGCTTGTTCTTGCACAGCTTCTTTGTTAAGTTTCAGCACTGAAGCTCCAACTTCAAAAAGGCATAACTCCTTCATTTCTAATCCAAATGGGGTGATTCTTGAGCCTAAACTCAAGGATTTTGAGTCAGATTTCCAATGGTATCAATACCATTCTCAGATTCAAAACACAGTGAGAGATATTAATATTTTAGTGAAGTAGTATCAGTTTTCACTTAAACCGGGAAAGGGCATTTTGTGGGATTCTTGGCCAAAGTTCTTAGAACCTCTTGGAATGTTAGGAAATGATTAGATTATGTTTTATTCACCTTGTTTGACTTGTTTAGAGTCAATTTACTCTTTTTATTTATGAATTGACCATTATACCCCTTTGTTAACGGATTTTGCCCGTTTTGACTCTAGTTTCCTCTTTCTTTCTCTTTACTTCTGTGACCTCATGGAATGTCACATCGGTGTCTTAGGGGTGACTCCTATCTCTAGAGACCTTGGTTTATATTTTTCTTCCTCATTTCAGACCCCGTTACCGGGTTGACTTTCGGTTCATCACTGACGCATCGGGTTGCAAAACTTGGGCCGTCACATACACGATCATGGATAAAGCATAAAGAAAGGGCTAGATAGGATAGTGAGTGTTTAGGATTCAATGTCAAAGTATTTATGAATCCATTTGAAGCTTATCTCTATAGGACCATGCATATCATATCATCATCCATATGCTCCTATATCCATTAACAATAGACTATGCACTTCATTCATATACAATTGACATATGGAGTCTTTGCTGAAAAGTGAGTTAGTTCAAGCTTGCATAAGTATTGAAGAACTCATCACTTATGCTAGAAATTCTAAGACCATACATATCAATCATATAATTCATATCGGTCAACAATTAAGGCATGAGAAGCCTTCATTACCATGAGTTGGTAGCGTCCATTAGGACCCCAGAATGCGCATCATGAAAAACTGTGTTTTTAGCTAAGTGTGAAAAATATATTTTTGAAATAATGATTATTTCAAAATAATTTTTCCCGGTAATAACTCTTTATACTTTAATTAGCCTAAATTGATTTTATCAGAATTTTTGACCAAGTCTACATTGGTCTACATAAGGATTCATTTTTACCAAAACTGTCGGAAATCCAAATTTGTACTAAAACTGAATTTGTACATTTTGATTTTGTTAGATTTCAATTTCTAGTATTTCAATTTACTTAAATGTTTTCAATGGAAATAAGGTATGTGCAGATGTCCTATAGAAAAACTGTCTCATCTGTTAAATATAGAACAATTTCTGAAGCAGCAGTTCCATTTCGGCGGACCGAAATGGAGAGGCAAAATGAATCGGTCGACCGATTCTAACAAAGAGTTTTGATCAAAGGAGGAAGGTATTTTGGACGACCAAAACAAAAGGTAAATCATTTTGGTCTACCGAAATAAAGAGTGATAGCCAACCTTAAGCCCTTTCGGACGACCGAAACACAATGGTGTTTCATTTCGGTCGACCAAACCTGTGAAGATTCAAACTTGAATGACTATTTTTCCTTTAACCCCATGCACAACAGCTATGTTTTTGAATTAGCTCATCAAAACTCTATAAATAGAGCTGGGGACTTCGGGATTAAGTGTTGCTTCTATAGAGAAACATCATATAGCATCCAAAGAGCTTTTGTTCTTCACTCATATCATACTCTCTCATCCCATATCATTCATAGAGTATTGAGCTTCAGTCTATTCATATATATACTCTAGACTGAGCTGAAAGTTGTGAGCTAATATTTTTATATCAATCTTTGAGAGATATATTTGTATGCAACCAATCTGATCTTCAATTTGTAATGGCTGGTGTGGCCCAAGGAAGAAGAAGCAAGCTAGTTTCATATTTGTAAAGGTTAGTGTGACCCAAAGAAAGACTAAGAGATGTTGTCTCTTAGCAAGGTGAAGCAAGGAGTTACTTCATATAAAGGTTTGCTCTCCACCCGTAAGGAGGTGCCATAGTGGATTGGAAAGTCTCAAGAGGGGTCTTGAGCCGAGGAGTAGGAGTTTCCGAACCTTGCTAAAATTGCCGTGTGAATGTTTGTAATCTCTCTTCCCTTATCTCCTTTACATTTATGCTATTAATTGTTCATATTTAGATCTTGATAATTGCATAATTGTTAGAAGGGTTTAGTAGAATTTGCAAATCCGAAAATTGGCCATTGTTTGCCAAATACTCTATTCACCCCCCTCTAGAGTCTATACTTGGGCAACATTTTGTGCTCCTAGAAGTGGTAATGTATATACCTTACTCCTAGTTGAACTTCATGATCAAGATGTTAAATGTTTTATGTCATCTAATGAACATAGTTGGTTATGGCATAGAAGGTTAGGTCATGCTAGCATGGATTTAATCTCAAGATTGTCTAAAAATGAATTAGTCAAAGGTCTTCCAAAGACAAATTTTTCAAAAGACAAACCTTATAGTGCTTGCCAAATAGGTAAGCAAGTCAAGTCTTCCTTCAAAAGGAAAAAGGTGTGGAGGGAAAAAATTCACACTAATCGCAAAACAACACGTGGCGACAAAAGGCAACCCACAGAGAGGCTAAAAAAACTGGAAGCCCATAATGAGACATAAGCCCAGCGAAGGAAGGCCTACTTAAAACAGAGGCAGAATAAACAAGCCTAATTCTGACAAGGCCCAAACTCCATAACACCCACAATAATGTCAAATGCACGATCTGTAGGCATGAATTACCCACGTTTGGGAATAAAAGCCAAGAAACGGCTCCATGTAAATTCTTAAGCTAAAAAACATTTATAAATAGAGCCTGAACAAAGGTAAAAGGCATGAGACTCTGAATACTATTACTATCTCAAAGATTTACTTGCTCCATTCTTAATTTTTTCTGTGTGCTTTCCGTAGTCGATCCCTTTAAGTGTTTGGGTGTAAAAAATTGCACCCACACTTTGGCGCCGTCTGTGGGACCTTCAATACAAAAAGTTTGTTCCCTTTCTATTGCATACAGCATCACTCTAGAATGGCAACAGAGCCAGACACTGTTCAACCGCAACAGCAGGAGACCATGCAGAAGATACGCGAAGAGATGTAAGCGCAACTGGACATCCTGTGGCAAGCAAATAAAGCCAGCACTGAGCAAATCAATATGCTAAGGCAGGCTCAAGAAACCAGCGTGGCAGAGAAAATGAAAGACTCTGAGGCAACGTTCGGCGGAATGAATAGCCAAACGACCCTTGGCCCGAACGTCAGAATGAAGATCCCCCCATGGAGCCAGGTGATGATAATCCACCCCACCAACAGAAGGCTCCACACCAACCCAATGAAATGCTGGAGGACATCCATGATGCCGCAAGTCAGTCACGCAACTTAGAGAACTCTAATATTGGGGGGCCTCAAATCACCAAAGCCCATCCATCAGATGACGCGGATTTAGGTAGAAAAGAAGTGTGGACCCCAGCAGCTGGTCAGCCATCTTCGGGGAATGACTTTATCGCCAGGCTCCGGAAAGAAATGGAAGAACGAATCAAAGGGCTGAAGGCCCAAACACCCGAAGGCATGGCGAGAGAATTTACTGCATCAATAGTAAAAACCCCTTTCACAGATGAGATAGAACAGGTTGCAAGACCCAATAAATTCACGATGCCCAAGTTCATCAAATTCAATGGGATTGGAGATCCCCTCCAGCACCTCAACCACTATACTCAGGAAATAACACTAGAGGCTCACAATGATCTATTCATGTGCAAAATATTTCCATCCAGCCTGACGGGGGTGGCCCTAGAGTGGTTCAAGAATCGCCCGTGCAAATCGATCCCAAACTTTGAATCACTATGCGTCATGTTCTTGGCCAGTTTTGTGGAAATAAAAAATAGAAGAAAACCATTGCTAGTCTCTTTACGATTCGGCAAATGAAGGGAGAAGGCCTGCAAACCTTCCTCACCTGATTCAACATGGAGTCTTCGGGCATACCAGATTGTAATCAAGACACAGCCATAGAAGCATTCCAGATAGCCATGGTGCAGGGCTCACATTTTCATTCTTCTCTGGTGAAGAAGACCCCAACTAACATGTCAAAGCTGAATTCACGGGCACAAAACTACATCAGACTTGAAGAAAATGAAGTAACTAGGCAGCAGAGAGCGACACTGGTCACAGTAGAGAATCGACCGAAGGAGCGATCGAGCACCCCGGGGGCCCATCGGAAACCCCCGACTATTGAGGGACGAGCCCCTGAAAAAAAATCTCGAACAACTGAAAGGGTCACGCCGCTCAAAGTAACACTGGCCAGACTGTACCATGAGACCAAGGCAAGAAACATCTTCCAGATCCCACCGCCAATCAAACAGCCAATGGAGCAAAGAGACCAGAATAAATACTGTGCATTCCACAGTAATTTTGGCCACCTGACTAATGATTGTAGGAGCTTGAGAAGACAGGTGGAAGCGTTAATAGCCAAGGGTGAGTTAACTAAATACTTGATTACCCCAGGGCAGCAAAGGCAGCAAGATCGAGCTCGGGCAATTCCAATAGCCGTGATAGAGAGCCATCCTGTCCGGGTAATTAACACAATTCATGGCCGTCCGGAAGAAGACAAGCAATCAGGAAATTCCTACAGGATCCAACTCAAACCTGCCCATAAGCTGCGAAGGATTGGGGAAATCAATACCGTCGACTGCAAACCCAATCCAGCACAAGTTTCTTTTCCTAAAGGGGATCTCAGAAGGGTACAACACCCACACGAAGACCTATTAGTAATTAGTCTGCTAGTGGCCAACTGTCTGGTCAGACGAGTACTGATTGACCCCCGCAGTAAAGCTAATATCATGACAAAGTGAACGTTCGATCAGTTAAAATTGGCTGCAGACCAGATTCGTCCCATTAAAAGTCCTTTGGTAGGATTTGATGGAAGAAGAGTGGAGCCTACAGGTGTGATCACGCTATCAGTCACTGCTACTAAAAGATCTCTAAAAGAGAACTTCGTGATTGTGGATATTCACCCGACCTACAATTTGCTAATGGGTCAAGGATGGATCCACCGCATGGAAGGAGTCCCATTAACCCTGCACCAAGTCATGAGATGCATAAGCCCGAATGGTCAAGAGGTCATCGATATCTTGGGGGACCAGGTCACAGCAAAGAAGTGCTACCACACGACGGTTTATCCTTCCGAAAAAGATAAGAAATTGCTAAAATAGCAATTACCGAGCTCTTCCCCTCCAAAAGAAATAGAGGAACCGGAAGAAAAGCATCTTACTGTAGAACCCCTAGAAGCCATGCAGATAGTCGCAGGGGACGAGCGCAAGCTGACCTACATAGGGACTCTCCAGTCAGTTCAGGAGAAGGAGGAACTGACAGAAATCCTAAGGAAGAACGTAGACATCTTTGCTTGGAATCACTAGGAACTGCCTAGAATTGACCCACGGACGGCCTGTCACAGCCTGAACGTGGACCCCAGCCACCATCTAGTAAAACAAAAGCAAAGAAGGTTTGCCCCCGAAAGGAATAAAATCATTGCCGAAGAAGTCAATCGACTTTTAGAAACAGGGTTCATCAAAGAAATCCAGTATCCTCAATGGTTGTCAAACGTGGTGGTTATCCAGAAAAAGAATGGTAAATGGCGAGTATGCATTGACTTTACCAACCTGAACAGAGCATGCCCAAAAGATAGCTTCCCACTCCCCAAGATCGATCAGATGGTAGACGCCATGACCGGATATGAAAAACTGACTTTCCTTGATGCTTACTCGGGCTACAACCAAATCCCGATGAACCCTTCGGACGAAGAAAAGACTTCTTTCATCACCGAACGGGGGACCTATTGCTACAAGGTAATGCCCTTTGGGTTAAAAAATGTAGAAGCAACTTATCAAAAGCTAATCAACAAAATGTTCGAAGAACAGATCGGCCGAACAGTCGAAGCTTACATAGACGATATGGTGGTGAAAAGCAAAGTTAAGAAAGATCATCGGCAACACTTATAGGATGTGTTTGATACTCTCAGGAAACATAGAATGATGTTAATCCCAGTAAAATATTCATTCGGAGTATCCTCGGGACAGTTCCTCGGTCACCTGGTGAGTAAAAGGGGAATAGAGGCAAGTCCCACTCAGTTGGCAAAATTACTACAGAGTCAAGAGCCCCGAACCGTGAGGGAAGTCCAAATCTTCACCGGGAGAGTAGCGACTCTTAGCCGCTTTATATCCAGACTATCAGACAAGTGTAAACCATTCTTCGACGCAATCAAAGCCAAAAAAGGAGATATCTGGGGGGCAGAGCAGAGAGAAGCTCTCGTGAAACTCAAGGAGTTCATGACAAGTCCCCTAATTTTATCTGCTCCAGAACCCAAAGAGCCGTTGTACCTTTACTTAGCAGTATCTCAGTCAGCAACCAGCTCAGCCTTAGTAAGAGAAGTGGGAAAGAAGCAACACCCGGTTTTTTATTCCAGCAAGGCCATAGCCAACGCAGAAAGCCGGTACTCAATGGCAGAAAAGATCATCCTTGCTTTAGTTCAAGCTAAAAGGAAACTCTGACACTATTTTGAGGCGCATCAGATAGTAGTTCCCACGATACATCCTATCAAAGCAATTCTTAGTAAACCAGAAATCTCAAGTCGGATCACCAAATGGGCAATTGAATTAAGCTCCTTTGACATCCGGTACGAATCGCGCACTAACAAAAAGGGGCAAGTGGTTACGGATTTTCTCTTGGACATTAACCCAGGGGAAGAACAGCAAACTACGGAAGAGCCTTGCTGGGAATTATACGTCGATGGTTCTTTGAGTCAAAACGGAGCCAGAGCAGGAGTAGAGATAAGAACCCCTGAGGGGACCAGAATCCAACAGTCAGTCCGACTAGAGTTCTCAGTCGCAAACAACGAAGCTGAATATGAGGCACTACTGGTAGGGCTCAGATTGGCCAAGGAACTCCAAGTAAAGCACCTCAAAGCCTATAGCGATTCACAGCTCATCACAAGGTAGGTGACGGGAGAGTACACCACCAGGGAGTGCAAAATGAATGCATACCGAGAAGAAGTTGAAAAAATGACAAAGTACTTTGATACAATCAAATTTCAGCAGATCCCTAGGGAAGAAAACCCGATAGCTAATCATTTGGCGAATGTAGCAGCCCTAGCGGATGAGTCACTCACCAGAGTCGTCCCTATTAATGTCCTAGAAACACCAAGCATCATAAGGGGAGTGCAGGTATTGGTCATCCTATGGGAACCGAGCTGGATAGATCCGATATTGGTTTACCTTGAGAGACGAGAACTCCCCAATTGTAAGGAAGCAACCCGGTAGCTAAGGATGAAAGCTGCCAAATATTTTGTGGTAGGAGGACAGCTCTTCAGATGATCGCATTCCGGACCCTACCTCAAGTGTCTGACCCCAACAGAGTCCCGAGAAGTTCTAAAACAGAACATGAAGGGGAGTGCGGGAATCATTCTGGGGGCAGGTCGTTGGCTCATAAAGCTCTCTCTCAAGGTTATTTCTGGCCCTTCATGGCAAGAGAAGTAAAAGAATACTCTCGTAGATGCGACAAGTGTCAAAGGCATTCCCCCCTCGTCCATCTACCCCCGGAAAAAATACACTCCATGAGCAGCCCATGGCCGTTCGCACAATGGGGAATCGACGTGGTAGAACCCCTACCAATAGCGGCATCACAGAAAAGGTATGCCTTATTAGCCACTGATTATTTCACTTAATGGGTAGAAGTAGAGGCATATGCGAGTGTGACTAATGTCTAAGTGAAAAAATTCATTTGGAACAACCTGATATGTAGATTCGGAATCCCAAAATCCATCATCATGGATAACGAGCCGAATCTGGGTAATCAATACACTCAATGTTTCTTTGACAAGTACGATGTCAACCAGAAAATGTCAGCTGCATACCACCCCCAAGGCAATGGGCAAGCGGAGATAACCAACAGGACAATCTTTACCTGCATCAAAAAGAAGCTTGAAGATAAAAAAAAAGGGAAGTGGTTAGAAGAATTGCCAAATGTCCTATTGGCATACAGAACCACCCCGAGACGTCCCACTAGTGAAACCCCTTTCTCTCTAGCTTACGGCACCGAAGCCGTAATCCCCACCGAAGTGGTGGCTCCTACCATCCGAAGCTTAGCTTGGAACCATGAGTCAAATAATCAGCTTCTGGAACATATTCTGGATCTATTGGAAGAAAAAAGGGAAGCCACAGCCATCCGGCAAGCAGCCTACCAGCAGAAGATAACAAATAGTTATAACAAAAGTGTCAGAAGGAGAAGCTTCAATCCGGGAGATCTGGTGCTCCTGAAATCAGAAAAGTACATTACCAAATTGGAACCTAACTAGGAAGGGCCATACGGAATATCAGATGTGATTGGAAAAGGAGCTTACAGACTTCGACACTTGGATGGCACCGAAATAACCAAGTCGAGGAATACAATAAACCTAAAAAGGTTCTTTCAATAAATTAAATCGTACAGTGTTTTCTAGTACTCTACTTTTTGAATAAATAAAGTTGCTGACAGCCGTTTTTCAAATGCCCCACATCGAATAAAAACAAAACTTCTGACTATTATTTAAAATGGAATAATACGAGATCTAAACAGTGGAGGATGGTAGGCGACCTATAACGTGACCCACCATCAGGGGTCTCCAATTCGCACTTTTTATCTTTTACCTTACCACAAATAAGGTCTTATCACCTACAAGAAACGATGTCCCATATCACTCAAAAAGTGAAATCTAACCCTTTTCTTATAAGGATCCACACTTAAGTGCCTATCAGTGTGTGGGACCCATTGACAATGAGACCCCACTTACGACACTAAAGTGCCCCATTGTCAGAGGTCTCCATGCACTCCCCACATATTTTCCCCTTTTTTAGAAAGTACGGTCCCACATCGACAAAAAAGGAAAAGAATCCCTTATTATTATAATATAACCTGCCGGGTATACAATCAGCGGGTAAGGGCCCTAAATTACAAGGCCTATGGATAGTCCCAGCTCATTATCAGAGGGGGTTCGTAATGTAGGGTCTTCCCCGCTTTCTTTTGGGATAGGTCATATCTTTTCAAATCTCTACTTCACTTTAAATAGAAAATGGGTTTTCTATAAGACAAAAATCGTTTAAATTCTAAACGTCAGCAAGGGAACGCCTACACAAAGAAGGCCCAATAAAAAGGGGTTCAGCACGAGGACTTCCCACTCAAGACGGACTTACGAATGAGCTTGACCATATAAACCGCTCAAGTCCAAAAAAGCCGAACGGCCCCAAGAGCCGATCGCAAAATAGGCGAAGGCCCCAAGAGCCTAACGCCTGAACGGGCTTAACCAGATAAACCGCTCAAGTCCAAAAAAGCCGAACGGCCCCAAAAGCTGATCGTAAAATAGGCGAAGGCCCCAAGAGCCTAACGCCCGAACGGGCTTGACCGGATAAACAGCTCAAGTCCAAAAAAGCCGAACGGCCCCAAAAGCCGATCGCAAAATAGGCAAAGGCCCCAAGAGCCTAACGCCCGAACAGGCTTGACCTGATAAACCACTCAAGTCCAAAAAAGCCGAACGGCCCTAAGAGCCGATTGCAAAATAGGCGAAGGCCCCAAGAGCCTAACGCCCGAACGGGCTTGACCGGATAAACCGCTTAAGTCCAAAAAAACCGAACGGCCCCAAGAGCCGATCACAAAATAGGCGAAGGTCCCAAGAGCCTAACACCCGAATGGGTTTGACTGAATAAACCGCTCAAGTCCAAAAAAGCCGAACAGCCCCAAGAGCCGATCGCAAAATAGGCGAAGGCCTTAAGAGCCTAACGCCTGAACGGGCTTGACCGGATAAACCGCTCAAGTCCAAAAAAGCCGAACGCAAGAACCGATCGCAAAATAGGCAAAGGTTCCAAGAGCCTAACGCCCGAACGGGCTTGACCTGATAAACCGCTCAAGTCCAAAAAAGCTGAACGGCCCCAAGAGCTGATCGCAAAATAAGCAAAGGCCCCAAGAGCATAACGCCCGAACGGGCTTGACCGGATAAACCTCTCAAGTCCAAAAAAGTTGAACGGCCCCATGAGCCAATCGTAAAATAGGCAAAGGCCCCAAGAGCCTAACGCCTGAACAGGCTTGACCGGATAAGTCGCTCAAAACCAAAAAGGCCGAACGGCCCCAGGAGCTAATCCCTAAATAGGCAAAAAAAATACCTAACATTAATTACAAAGCAGACAAA